TGCATTTTTCGACAAGGCGCGCGAAAAGTTCAAAGCATGGCAGTCGATTTTTGAGTACAAAGTCCTGCATGCGGAGAAGGATGTTGAAAGTCAGGGCTTCCAGGCCGGAACTTATGACGTTGTTGTTGCGCAGAATGTTATTCATGCGACTGAGGATTTGCATTCTACGCTGTCGAACTTGAGGAAGCTGCTTAAGCCCGGTGGAAGGATTCTGATTCAGGAGGGTATGAGGCAGGACTACTTCTGGTCAGCGCTGGCTTTTGGGCAGTTGAGTGGATGGTGGCTTTCGAAAGAGGAGACGAGGAAGTGGAGTCCGTTTGCATCAAAGGACCAGTGGGCGACGATTTTGAGTGGAGCTGGCTTTGATGGCGTTGAGCTAGAGTTGAAGGACGCTCAGATTGATGTGTCGCATACACAGAGCATTCTTGTGTCGCGTGCTGTTGAGCAGAATGCGGCATTGGAAGCGCAAAAGGACAAGGTGGTTGTCATTGTTCCTGAATCATTGGACAAGGCTTTTATCTTAGGGTTGCAGCAGGAGTTAGAGAAGACACTTCAGAGTGGAAGTATCTCTATTGCCTCAATCCGCGAGCTGAAAGACCAAGATTTGAGCCAGACTCTATGCGTCTCACTCCTGGAGCTGGACACCCCTGTTCTCTCAACTCTGACATCAGAAGAGTACGAAGGCGTCCGAAAGGTACTAACCGAGTGCCACGCCCTTCTCTGGGTCACAGGCGACATGTTAGAAACCCCCGAAAACAGCATGGCCCTCGGTCTCATCCGCACCGTACGATGGGAACGAGACCTCGACGACGCAAACCTCGTCACCCTATCCATCGCAACCCCCCGCCCCAACACCGCCAATATCATCGAATGCATAAGCAAGCTGATCACCCTCCAATTCACCAACTCCATCCCCAAAGAAGAAAAGCAAGGAGAATACCTCTTCAAAGATGGATCCTACTTCACCAGCCGCCTCCACTCAAGCACCACCGGAAACCACTTCCTCGCCTCCCAATTCAGCACCCCCCAGCCCATATCTACAGCTTGGAAAGACGCTGGAAGACCAGTCAAACTATCTTCTGCATCGCCCGGGCAGCTAGATCGTCTCCAATGGGTCACCGATCCCGTCTACACCACGCCCCTAGATCCCACACACGTCGAGATCGAAATCAAAGCCATGGGCCTCAACTTCCGCGACTTGATGATTGCAATGGGCGAACATATGGCCTACAGCATCGGGTGCGAAGCCGCGGGTGTCATTTCTCGCGTCGGCTCGCAAGTCACTGACGTCGCAGTCGGAGATCGTGTCACGTACATTACTGGACTGGACCATGTCGGTTGTTTCCACACGTTTGGGCGGGTGGACCAGTCGGTCGTGACGAAGATTCCTGATTCGTTGAGCTTCAGCGATGCGGCTGGACTGCCAGCTGTGTATGTTACGGTACTGTATGCGCTGAGAGACGTGGCGAGGTTGGCGAAGGGGGAGAAGGTGCTGATTCATGCTGCGGCGGGAGGCGTAGGACAGGCGGCGATTAATTATGCAAAGAGTGTTGGGGCAGAGATCTTTGCTACTTGTTCGACCCCTGAGAAGAGAGATGTGAGTTGTGATTTATCCGTATGGAGGGGATTGTTTATTGACTTGAGTTTAGGTGCTCGTGAAAAACTACGGTATCCCGGAAGATCACATTTTCTCGAGTCGAGACTTGAGTTTTGCGAAGGGAATTCGTCGAGTGACTGGCGGATATGGAGTGGATGTTGTACTCAATTCACTCGCTGGCGATGTACGTGCACCGCATACCGCAAACACTTCTTGATCATTTTGACTGACATACTTTCTCAGGCTTTGCGGTGCTCCTGGGAACTTCTCGCCCCCTTCGGACGCTTCATCGAAATTGGAAAGAAGGACATTCAAGCTAATTCTAGGATCGAACTGCGACCTCTTCTGCGAGGCACTTCCATGACTTGCGTAGACTTGGTTACAATGATGAAGTGTCGGCCACAGCTAGTCAAGCAGCTCACCGACGACACAGTACGCCTATGGAGCGAGGGCGTTGTCAAGACTGCAAAGCCAACAACCGTCTCCCCCCTTTCGAAGCTGGTTGAAGGCTTCCAGACTCTACAATCTGGTCGTGGAACTGGTAAGATGGTGTTCGTCCCACACGATGACGATATTGTCCCGATCGTGCCAGAGCAGCAAACCCCATTTTACTTCAAGCCAGACGCAACATACGTCCTGAGCGGTGGATTGGGAGGATTGGGACGAAGTATTGCAAGGTGGATGGTGAACAGGGGTGTTCGCAACCTATTGTTCCTATCACGTAGTGGCAAGATCACTCCAGCCGTTGCCGAGATGGAAAAGAATCTGGTCGAGCAAAAGTGTAGAGTCCGCATTGAAAAATGCGACGTCACGGATTCAGCCGATCTTGAGAGGGTTTTGAAGGACTGCGAGTCTTCTCTGCCACCAATCAAGGGTGTGATTCAGGGAGCTATGCAACTATCAGTAAGTCTATCACCAACTCACTACTACAGTAAGAAAGAACTCAACTAACTCTCATATCCAGGACTCCATCTTCGAAAACATGACCTACGAACAATACATGTCCGCGGTAAACCCCAAAGTCCTCGGCTCCTGGAACCTCCACAAGCACCTCCCAAAGGACCTCGACCACTTCGTCCTCCTCTCCTCCGCGACCGGCATACTCGGTAACCGAGGCCAGGCCAACTACGCCGCAGGAAACACCTACCAAGACGCCCTCGCAGCATACCGCCGCTCGCAAGGTCTCGCAGCCTCCACCATCGACGTCGGCGCCATCCTCTCCGTCGGCTACGTCGCAGAGAACTCCTCGCGCGTCGCCATCAACAAAGGCGTAAGCGTCGAACTCGAGCAAATCCGCGAAGAAGAACTACACGCGATTCTCGAATACAGCATCGATCCGTGCCAGAATCCTCCTGCGCAGATTGTTACTGGTCTGGCTAACAGAGATAAATACCGGCACAAGGGAATGCCGACGCCGTCATTCATGAGTTTCCCACTGTTTGCGCATCTAAACAGTGAGACGTTGACTGGCGCTGCGTCATCTGAGAGCACTGAGATTCCTGTCGAAGCTTTGCTTGCTCAGTCAAAGACATTGGATGAGGCAGCTGATATCATTACAACGGCGGTGAAGGGCAAGCTGGCGAGTTTGTTGTCGGTAGCAGCGGCGGATATCGATGAGGACAAGTCGATAAGCGCAAACGGTATTGATTCGCTAGTGGCTATAGAGTTCAGGACGTTCCTTGCAAGGGAAGTCAAGGCGGATGTACCCATGTTGGATGTTATGGGGACTTCGACGATCAAGGTGTTGTGCAGGAAGATTGCTACGTTGAGTCGCGCGGTGGATGTCAAGCAAGATGAAAAGGCTAGCGAATAGTGTTACAGACCAATTGTTGGATTTTGAGTCAGTTTCAGTATAAACTCCTACTCAAACGTTGTAGCAGTCAATAGAAGTTCCAATCGCATTTCATATCCAAATGATAATACCAACATCCTTTTCGTTACAGTGATTGTTACATTACGGGCAGATAGGTGTTAGTCAACTTGGTGTAGGTTAGCTTACGTAGGATGGCCTATACTGAATCATGTCTGCTCATGATTAGAAAATTTTGTGACGTCAAATTGGACAAAGCACTCATTGCGGGTTGATCGTTTACAGAAGTGTCACAATACAAATCGGATATCGAACACACTGGCCCACGGTGACCCATGTGCGCATGCGAAAGCAATTGGTGAAGTTCCTAGGAAAAGCCTGAAGGTTAGTATTTACTTCGAGAACAACAACACACTTCACGAGCGGAAAACAACGAGCAAAAGATGACCACACAATGGTTATGCGGAACATTCACCCTAGTGAAGCCTCCATTGTACACGTGGTCGTAGACCCGCTCATAAGAGACAAGGGCCAAGCTCCATTGATAGGCCGCAAGTTCAATGCTTGCTCTTTTTGTAAGATACATTCCAGGACTCCGTTGGACCGAACCCCCGAGACCGAAAATGCTGGTTATCGTGCAGAATCTTCACTTCGTTCCCTCTTCACCTCTCCGTCGATACGTTTATCGAACAATTCCCTCGAATCGGTTCTTGTACCACTTGATGGTCTCGGCCTGGTTGACGCGGTGGGATGGGCCGATCTTGCTCTTGCACCTCCTGCGCTTGGCGACACGCTCACCGGGGCGGGTCATGCAGACGTAGAAGTCCATACCGTAGATACTGCTCCAGTCAGCCATTGCCTCTCTTGCCTTCATTTTCCATGTTCCACATACCCGATGCTAGGGTCGTACTTGATACCCAAGTCGATGTGCTCGCTGATACCGAAACCGAAGTTGCCGGACTCTGAGAAGTTGCGCTTGCGGAGCTCGTACTCCTTGACCTTGAGACCACGCTCGAGGATCTCCTCGGCCTTGGGGCCACGGACGGTAACGTGGACGGCAATCTTTTCGTTCCTTCGGATACCGAAAGTACGGACGGTGTAGCGGGCCTTGGAGTAGACGGGAGTTTGACCGGACAGCTGCTCGAGCACCTTGGCGGCACGAGTGAGACGATCACCAGACTCGCCAACGGAGATGTTGAGGACGAGCTTCTGGATGCGGAGCTCCCGCATGGGGTTGGAGGCCTTGGAGTCGGACTGTCATTGCTGTTAGCATGCGCGATGCAAACTATCGTCTATATTTGCTGCGTACCATTGTGATTGACTGCGGAGGTTAGTAGGCGTGGGTGGCTGTCGAAGTCGCTGGAGTGGAATTCGCGATCACGAAATCCATTTGGCCTGTGGAGGGCACGAATTAAGCGAGACTAGGCCGGTCACGTGCCAGCATGTCAGAGCTCCGAACATGAACTTTGTCTTGCGAACACCAACAGCTCCAGACGCCCCGCCGATCGCCAACTACACGGGGATCGCACCTCAATAACCCCATATACCTCTTTTTCGAGCTTTCAAGTCGTCTCCGGACGCGCAAAACACATCATGTCGGGCGCTGCAAACCGTCAAGGAAAGATGGTAAGTAAATCTGCCTAGCAGCTCGAGGCCTTGACCTGAGAGAAAGACGCGCATAGAAACTAACTGACGCTCGATGATATAGCAAAATCTAGTAAGCGTCCCAGATTTCCGCTCACAATCGCACCCAACTTACAAGACTAGATCAACTACCGCATGAAGGTAACGCTTCAAGATGGTAGGCAAATGGTCGGGCAGATGCTCGCATTCGACAAGGTCAGTGTCGCATTTTCTCTTTGGAAGAACTGAATTAACGCGCTGTTTGTAGCACATGAACCTTGTACTCGCCGACACAGAAGAATTCCGCCGCACACGGAGAAAGGGCAAAGCCGCACCGGGCGCAACCCAGCAAGTCACCGAAACCGAAGAACGACGCGCCATTGGACTTACCATTATCCGTGGTGCTCATGTCATTTCACTGTCAGTTGATGGGCCACCGCCTGCGGACCCCGCTGCGCGTCTCGGAGCAAACTCTGGACCTTCGACTACTGCGGCATTGGCTGCTGGACCTGGTGTCGCTCGACCTGCTGGACGTGGTCTCCCTGTTGGTCTGACTGGACCAACTCCTGGCGTTGGAGCTCCTGGCCCTGGATTTGGAGGTGGTTTCCCAGGCGCACCTGGAGGTTTTGGAGGGCCACCTGGCTTCCCAGGCCGTGGTGGACCACCCGGTGGACCACGTGCGTCGCTCTAAATACATTTGAGTAATGTGTGCTAACTCTTGACAGCTGGCTTCCCTCCCGCTGGTGGACCTCCTGGCTTTGGCGGACCCCCAGGATTCGGTGGACCGCCAGGTTTCCCTGGTCGTGGCGGACCTCCTGGCTTTGGTGGCAGATAGACGGACAACAACGCGCAGTTATGAAGGAAAATTACGAGAAGAAACAAGCGTCGGAATTGGCGAGTTACAAACACAACGCGTGGCCATGTTGCGGATGTCAGGGAGCGTATCGGGAGACTGAGGAGATCAAAGTCCAGCAGACCGTAGACGTTGCAAGTGCTCCAAGGTTTTGGCTATGCTTGAAAACCGCAGATGACACTGACAAGGCGAGCGTACCTAAATCATAAGTGTACGAAAGATTGGTTGGAGGAGTTTAGGATATACCATTGGCCTACAGGCCACAATAAGAACCAGTCGCAGCAATTCAAGATTTGGACTGTCACACTTTCTGTCTGCACCCAATCCAATGGCCAATTACTAGCTACTATATCACCTTACACGTGATGTCCTTCCCGTACGTAATCATGCACTGCCGGTTCGCGGTTGCGGTGCGCCATCTATTCCCGCCCCGGCCCCATCAAAAAAGCCTTGGCAAGCCAGCCCTGTCCCCGTTCCGAGCCCATCTCGCAAACTCCGAACCACGAGCTTTACTTTTGCCTACGTCCCCTTCCGCTCTCCGCCGTCGCATACAACCCTCTGGTCTCAGGAAAGAAAAACCCGACCAAAGGAACCGTCGCAACCATGGCCGCCGCAATCAAAGCCCTCAACGCGAAGATTCGCTCAAACAAGTACACGGATTACTTTTGCTCGACTCGTACGTTTTTAGAACCCCGGTTTTCGGAGAGGGCACGCGCACACTCGCACTCGGCTGCGTCTTCGACGCAGATTGAAGACAGGAGAAATAAGGGAATGATAGGAGAATTGGGAATTTGCGAGGAGAAACATTGCTGACGGTTGATATCCTACAAAACAGACTTCTGGGGCCCCGCGAGTAACTTTGGTATCCCGATTGCGGCCATTGCGGATATGAGTAAAGATCCTGAAATGTATGTTTCCTTCCTCCTTCCTCACCCTCCTCTCTCTCACCTATCTAACACTTCATGCGAAATAGTATCTCGGGCCGCATGACCGGCGCCCTAACTCTCTACTCTGCCACCTTTATGCGCTACGCCATGGCGGTTACACCTGCCAATTACCTGCTCTTCGGGTGCCACGCGATCAACTTCACCTCGCAGGTTGTGCAGGGATACCGATATCTGAACTACTGGAACTTTGGTGGTAGGGAGGCGACGTTGAAGGGCAAGGCGGAGCAGGTGGGCGAGACGGTTAAGAGTGCGGTGTCGAAATAAGGTGTTTTGGACTGCGGGAGAGAAGGAAAGGGTGTGGAATCTTGATATTTGAGGGTTAGGTGGGGGGAATGAAGGATAAGAGATGAAATGAACATGATATCATGCATGCATTCTTACTACTAGTTCTGAAGTGTGTTTTACTCCACGCAGGTCGAGATACGTACTTGTGACGAAAAAAAGAATTCTTGATTCGAATTACAAACATGATAGACGGACATTAGGCCAGTGCTGTTTTTTAAACTGGGGATATACATATATCGACACACAAAAAAACCCTCTCCAACTAACATTACTATTCCTTCCCTTTTCCTTCCAACAAGCTCCCAAAAAAGAAGATCTCACATCAAACTACTCCTCCCCCCAATCTCCGTTCCTCCCTGTCCATTCGGCAAATTGCCATCCCTTCCATCCACGAACTCCGTGTATATCCTCTTGAGGCGCATTCGCTCTTGAGCCGAGATACTGCTTCTACCAGACACCAATGAGGATTCAATGTGAGCCCATTGGATCTGAGGGTCTTTCCGATCGGTAGATGCATCCTCTGTTTTGGTGTCTGCGAGGCCGTTAGGGGAAGAGGAGGAATCCTTAGGGTCAAGGAGACCGCTAACAGAACGTTGGAGTTGTTTCTGCTTTTTACGGAGGGACTGGAGGGAAGAAATTTTCTGGGCGATGAGGGCGCGCTCGGAGATGTGGTGCGAGGTGCGCAGTGCGGAATCGGCGGGTGTGTTGCTTTCGTCGTCGCCGTAGCGGAAGTAGGAAAAGTCGGGGATACCCTTTGTATCTTTTGTGCCGGTGTTTTTGTTGCCGGCGGCGTCGAGTTTGGAAGGGTCGATGTCGCCGAGGGCGTCGTGAATGGCTTCTAGCTGGGCGTTGTAGACGACGGCTTGGAGGTCGGCGCCGGAGTAGCCTTCTGTTCTGGAGGCAATTTCGCGGAGATTCTGGCCGGATGTATCGGCTGAGAGGATGCTGGGTGCGAGGTGCAGTTTTGCGGTTACGGCGCGTAGGATGTCGATGCGCTCTTCTTCGTCGGGCATGTCACAGAGGAGGGATTTGTCCAGACGACCGGGACGGAGGAGCGCAGGATCGATGAGATCAGGGCGCGAGGTAGCGGCCAAGACGTAGACGCCTGAAAGACCTTCCGCACCATCCATCTGGGTGAGGAGCTGGTTGACGACACGATCTGTTACGCCGGTGGAATCATGGCCACGCTTTGGCGCGATCGAGTCGAACTCATCAAAGAACAAGACGCAAGGCCGCGCTGCTTCTGCTCGCTCAAATAGATCACGTACAGACTTTTCAGACGCTCCAATATACTTGTTGAGGATCTCAGGACCCTTGACTGAAATGAAGTTGAGACCACATTCACCTGCTACAGCAGAGGCGAGCAGTGTTTTGCCGCATCCGGGATAGCCGTAAAGAAGCAGACCTGAGCGGAGACGTAGTGGGCATTTTGCGAAGATTGGGGCGTACGTGGTGGGGTATTGTAATGTCTCCAAGAGAACCTGTCGTGTGTTATGCAAACCACCTATTGAATCCCATTTGGTGGTACTAGACTGTAATGTGACGTTCCTCAACGAGGCGGGTGTAAAGCCTGAGAGGGCTTTGGTATAGTCTTCTCGCGTAAGAGTCACAGTAGGAGATGTTGATGTGACAGAGCGGATGAGTGCTTCGTTCCGCGCACGCGAAGTCAGCAGAACAAGATCGCCAGGCATGTAACCATCTGTCTGTCCCGCAAGATCGAGAAAGTCAATGGAAGAATCGACTGTGAAGCCGTATTCGTCAGAAGGCGGTTTTTGTATGCTGTCAACGCTAGCATTGCTGCGGTGTGAAGTACTTGGTCGACTATTTGATGGAGAGGGTGGGAAGGCATGGCCGTTAGCTTGCTCGGTTGGCTCTGTTTTGGCATCCTTGAAAGCTAGCATCTCAATGACCTTTCTCCTGCCATCTTTGTTGGGTGCTTTTAGACTGACGATTTCGCGAACAATGTGACCTCCAACGATGACGTTGTTGAGAGCTTCTTTGCCCTGTGCTGTTGCTAGCAGCACTACTCCAGAGTCCATGGAGCAATACTGTCGAACGATATTGATCAAGCACTCGCTGACCTGCCGGCTTCGGCCATTCTCATTGCCAACCTGAAGCTCGGTTTCGACAGGACATAGCTTGTCAAGGTCATCCAGAATGACTACGGCATTTCCGCCACCCCGTGCACCCCACGAAGCCGTGGCAAACAACCGATTGAGTGTTTCTTTGATAGTCGCAACACGCGTCTCATCCGTCACCAGCTTGCGACAGGGAAAGTATGTGGTATTGAACAAGTACTCGGTCCGAAGCTGGTGCGCAAGGAGCTGAGCGCATTCTGATTTTCCAGCACCGAGACCTCCAGTAAGGAGCACTGATGAATTGTGCGTCAGATGCGATCTTAGCTGTGCAATCAGAGGGTCAATTCCAACAAGGTGAGCAGGAGTTTCAGGTAATGGATCACCCTGCTGCCATCCCTTGGCCCAACTCGACGGTACCGACACCTCTGGACCCAGTTCAAGTGGTGGTTTCCTCTCAGGAAAGAGGACCCATGATACACCACTGGTTGTCGAGGGAGGTTCAAATTTTACAATACCTCCTTGCCAACCAATATCAGAATCCTTGGTTGGTGGTAGTATCATGCCATCCGTAACTGGCCCGTCCAGAATCCCGTTCTTTTTTCCATATGATGCTCTGATCTTCTGTATAGCATTCTCGTGATCCTGCTTTGACTCTCCACCAAATTTCAGCGATGCGTTGCTGAGTGATGCTACTGTGGCGAAAGGCGCAATCTTGATTGATTTCACAGTTGGCTCCCTGGACTCTTTGGTACCCTGTGGCTTGATGGCAGGTGGCTTGGGGGTTTGGGCAGGTGCACCTTCGATACGAACCAATCCGCCAACAAACTTCTCACAACCCAGAACCTTGCACAGGTCGACCGAAAGCGCCACATGACGGCTGTCAGGCGCATCTTCCCATGGGACGATTTTGGCTACTACACGAGTCGCAGCTTTCTCCTGTTCTTGCTCCTTGGACATGTCGACGGGCTCTTGTAGGCCTGCAGGCTTGATAACTGATACAGAGACCCAAGTAGTCCCCCTGAGTGCCTTTGTGAGGAGTACCTCGGGATCAACCCAGACCTTCAGTCCCTCTGCGTCAGCATCGTCTTCGTCGTCGAACCACTCCTGGGCAACGCTTCGGTCAAGACCGCGTAGGAAGACAACGCCCTTTGTTGCAGCATCCTCACGACCGCTGCGGCGCCGGACTGTGCTCGCAGTACTTTTTCCGCTCTTTCTTGAAGCAGCGCCCACGCTCCGGCTCTCCCGAGTCGAGCTCCTCTCCTTCTGTCGTGTCTTGGGCGCAACGATGACTTCTGCGTCGGGCGAGATTTTTACAAAGAGCGATGTGTTCTGCGGCGCAGGGGCAATGGAGGTGACAGTGATATTTGCGGTGGTAGTAGGGGACAGATGGAGGGTCAGGGGGTGCGGCGACTGAGCTTGTGGGTTAGGCAGTGCGCGTATCTGTGAGAGGAAGTTTAGTTCGAGAAATTGGGCATGCAGCTCGATCATTTCCCAGTCGACAGGGGTCAATGGCTCGATGTTGATGGTGTGGGCTTGGGGAGGATCGAGGTGCAGTATGATGCCGACTTTCTGACCCTGCTGAAGACCGATCAGTCGCGCAAATGTAGCATCCACTTCGACTGCCGGAAGGTCTTGTTGGCTGACTGCTGGGCTGCCCCTCAGGCCGTCTTTG